TCAGATCCTTCCATTCCGACAGCACGAAATGCAATCACCGCGAACTTCCATTCGCTCAGACGTCATTTCGCTGATTACGTTCGGTGGAACGCCCTACACCGACAACGATCGGACAGTCAGCGGCAAAGTCTACTATCTGCCCGACGTCATGGTGCGACAGTTCAAAGAGTTGACTGAAATGGAGATGGGATGCAGCCATGCGTGTGTGTCGGTTCTCGACAATTTTGTGTACGTCGTGGGTGGGCAGCATTTGCAGTATCGCAGTGGAGAGGGCGCAGTCGACATCTGCTTCCGCTACGATCCCCATCTGAACCAGTGGCTTCGAATCCAATCCATGCAGGAGAGCCGCATTCAGTTTCAGCTCAACATATTGCATGGACAACTTTACGCTACCGGAGGACGCAACAGGTCTGGCAGCTTGTCCTCTGTAGAGTGCTATTGTCCGAGGAAAAACGAGTGGACTTGTGTGGATTCCCTCAAGAGGCGGATCTGGGGTCACGCCGGAGCGACGTGCGGCAAGAAACTCTACGTCTCAGGAGGTTACGGGGTGTCTGTGGAGGATAAGAAGACTCTCCATTGCTATGATCCGACCTCGGATCAGTGGGATTTCAAGTGTCCCATGAACGAGCCAAGAGTCTTGCATGCTATGATCAGTGTGAACAACCGTATTTATGCTCTCGGTGGCAGAATGGACCATGCTGACCGCTGCTTTGATGTGCTAGCTGTAGAGTATTACGTTCCAGAGACCGATCAATGGACAACAGTCAGTCCGATGCGAGCTGGTCAATCAGAGGCTGGCTGCTGTCTCCTGGATAAAAAGATCTATATAGTCGGAGGATACAACTGGCACCTCAATAACGTCACTAGTATTGTGCAAGTTTATAATACAGAGACAGATGAGTGGGAAAGAGACCTTCATTTTCCAGAATCTTTTGCGGGAATAGCTTGTACACCTATTGTACTTCCTCAAACAACCACCCAGCGCTAAGCACATATTGCATTTGCTGTTTATTTAGGCTTAAGGTTAAGCGTCCACCCGGACTGAAGTGAAAGTAATGGTATAATTGGCTTTGTCTTATTGAAAAGCCATAATGTTATGTCTTTATTGTTGAAGCATGCATGATTGAAGGTTTGTTCACAACGATATGAAAGCACACTTTTTGAGAATGTAAAGGCATCTTTCTACACACTTCTCAAGCAGTATTGTCGTCTATGGCCCTTCTTGTAGATTGCCACTTTTCATACTAATGAGGGTTTTGTACAAGTCCCTGTGGGATTTGCACTGACGGCAGACTTGAATGGACCCACAACATTGGAGCAATGTCATCACGTCTTCATCTTTGTGAATATCCTACATGTATTCACAACACACCCTAAACTTCCAGAAGTATAGTGCAAGTTTATAATGCAGAGACAGATGAGTGGGAAAGAGATTTTTAAGAATCTTTTGCAGGAATAGTTTGTTACACTTATTGTACCTCCCCAAACAACCACCCAGCGCAAAGCACATATTGTCTTTATATTTGATTTTTGAGAATGTGAAGCATCTTTCTGCACACTTCTCATGCAGTAATGTTGTCTTTGGCCCGTCTTGTAGATTGCCCAGTTTCATACTAATGAGGGTTTCGTACAAGTGCCTGTGGGATTTGCGTTGATGACAGACTTGAATGGGCCAGCAACACTGGGGCAATGTCATCATGACTTCATGAAGGATTCATGGCCTGTTCTCATGGTGTGACTAAATGACACGAAAGCAAAAAATATTCACAAGAAATTATTACAACGAAACTTTATTCCAATTTGTGTCCTTTTCTGAAATTTTGTATAGCTGAATGAATTGGTTGACATCTAAACAATTAAAAACAATCTTTGCATCTGGGAAAGAGTTGGCAGAACTTCATACTTGCAGTATGATATTTTGAATTTAGTCCGCCAGCTAGACTTTGGACAAAATTGTCCGCTTTGCCAGTACTTGATGAAGAAGGCTCTAGGTTTAAAATATTGAACCTTAGCATGCTCTTCTCAAGATGTAAAGCTGGCTCTGGTTCTTTTTGTCGATTACTAGTGTGTGAATCTCTTGGGTACAGATCAGTTTTCTATATCACAGCTTTGGATGCAGATGGTCCTAAGCACAGCATAGGCCTGTATTCCTCTCAATTAGACATGATCTTGAGAGTTAATGCAAAACAGTAGACCTGATCTATATGTTGCACTTTTCAGGCAAATTCATGTTTGTTTTGTGATCATTTGTAGAAACACCACTAGCAAGATGTAGTGGCAGGTGTGTTAATATATTTTGTGATGCTTTATTAACCTATTTTGTGACAAATTCCTGATATTAGTTCTCTTTCATCATAATTCCCATTTTTGAAAGGTTTTGTATTAAAAACTGGCAAATTATTTCAGAAATCTTTGCTACCATGAAGAAGCAGAGCAGCAGTGGAGGTAAAATTCTCATGACTCAGTTTTATACTTTTAAACTTTTTTTTTTTTCCATTCC